GGGACCCATGGCCGACAGTCCACAACAGTACTTATATACACATGATTTGTTGTCAGATACAGAAGTTTGGTCATGAGAGCACACACCGTTTGGAAAATTTATTTTTACTACTGTTTATTACGGGCATATTTGCAAATGATTGCTAACCAAAATAGCCACAAACAGTGGTTGTACATCCTTAAAATATATAATTTGTCATTTAATGAAGGACTTTTAATTCTACTAAGAAATAACTTTCTCCCCCTAGTATTAAGTATTGGATTCAAGAATATGAATCTGTTATCTATTTTGAAAAGCCCTGATGCTCAAAAAGTGAGAAGGGGAAGCAATACATTTCCATATGAACTAGATTTAATAAAAATGATTATACACATCCCCTTTTTTACTTGTTTCTATTCTTGTGTGTGTGTGTGTGTGTGTGTGTGTGTGTGTGTGTGTGTGTGTGTGTGTGTGTGTTCTATGTTTAGTTTTTTTGAATTATTACAATATATGTAATGGATCACTGGACAGCCACTACTGAATTTTCTTCTGCTAATGTTGTAGTTGTAGTTGTGTGATTTTGCTATTGTTAAAAAAAAAGCACCCCATAAAATTATTAGTTTGGAGGGGAATATTATTAGAGTTAAGAGAGTGGTTTTTGAAGTATCAATAAGTATCTACAATTGCCATTATCTTGGTACACCCCCCATGTCCTCTCTTACCCCAAATCATCAGTTGGCCCATTCATCAGTAACCAAGGTTTGATTGATTTCATTAAATAATTCAGATCTGCAATAACTACTGTAACAAACAGGTGCCTACCTTCAAATTCCCTTCTCCTGTGAGAAATAATGAATAGCCAGCATCAGTAGCAAGCAGCCCAACAAACTGCATTAACGGCCGTTGTTTTACAAATGTTTCCACAGCTTCATCAGTGACATGCTTCCTCCCCGAGATGTCCAAAGATACCAGATTAGGCAAGATGTCTTTCTGTTCTAACAAACGAAGTGCAATATCAGATGTGAACTGCTTATCATCTGAAATATCAAGGTGATTCAGGAATTTTAACTCTCGTATTACATCCAAAATCTGAGTGGTTGTCATTTTCAAGCATTTCAGGTGGTGCATGGTAAGCGATTTGAGGCGATCCTTACAGGTGAGGATGGCGGTTATGTCGGTGACGGAGGTGTTGGAGATATCCAGGCTTTCTAGTCTTGGAAGCGAAGCCACGTCAGCAAGATCTTCATTGTAAAACAGAACATTGGTGATGCTCAACGCACGAAGGCCAGTCAGCTGACTGAAGCACCTTTCATAGGGATCTTCCAGGGAAAGAGTTAATGAGTTCAGCACAAGGCATTGCAGGTTTTGCTGAATCCATTTATTGCTGCCAAGTCCACTGATGATATCTGTGATTGTGATGTCTGCGTTCACACCAGTAGCATCAAGCTCCACCAGCTTGTGGTGGCAGAATGCTTTCCAAAAAGCTACCGCAGAAATTTTTGCTTTACGGATACAGGCTCTTTTCAAACGCATCTGATTGCCTCGAAAAATCCCCACTGTTGCATCATTAAGCAGTCCTAAAGGGAAAGAAGAGCACCAGACAGATTATATATACTGTTTTAAAATGGAAAAACAAGCGAGCTATCACAACTCAGGGAATTTCCACTTCAGGCCCAGATTACAAGGAGAAAGCAAGTTCGAAAAGGAGAAAATAGGAATCAATTGCACTCCTTATTCTCAAACATACTCTTTCTCCTTCCCATCCCCAGCTTTTTTTGAGGGCGGGGTACCTTCTAAGTTGATTTTAACAAACTGATTTCATTGGACAGCTATAATACCATCTTATCCTTTCCTCTTCTGGCTGGTACTATTGCCGGAGCACTTCTATACAAGGGTTTTTTATTGTATCGCTTCCATTCTCCAACTGCACAAAAGCTGCCATGCCTCAAATACCATTAAATGCTGTACAGTAATTTAGAATGGTTAATGAAAGAGAATGTTCTGATTCTGTTCTATTTGCTTGGTTCAGAGTAACATTTAATTCTTAACGTCATCAATTTTGCATCATTTCAGCTAAAAATAGCCATGCCAAATCAAGTGGGAGTTCATAATCAAATGCAGGGAAATTCAACCCCTTGTTTAAATAACTAAGATGAGTCACTTTCTGCTTGAATGGAGTCCCCAATTATCAGATCTGGATGGTTTATTTTACCGTGGAATGCCATTGTCCGCAGCAATCGGTCAGCCACTTCTTGTGGAAATATTCCAGGCTCTTGCAAACATAATGTCCCATCGTGCCTTTCTGTACAGAACTTCTCAAGGTCAGAGGTTAGGTAGTTTAAGCAGATGTCAAGCAGAGAGTATGGTGAAGCCTCTTCCTGCAGAAAGAAGTCCAATGTCTAACATTTGAAATTCAAAAAGGCAGCATCGATTACTGTTTAACTGACAAGAAAGCAAGGAGAACTGCACTTTGCAATTCTCATCACCACTAAAAATAAAACTTAGAAGGTGGAAGTTGGTACCAGAGGCTGTTTTGTGCCAGTGGTGAGAATCTGTACTGTAATAAGTGTCCTATTGCATAAGTATGTAGTTGTCTGAAATCATGTAATTACAAATCATTGACTTAACGGTAATTTATTTTCAAATTATAGAACTAAAAGGGAAGAGAGTAAGAAAGAATTTTTCTGACTACAAACATGGTATCACTTACTCTGATCTCTATGTTGCGGGGTCAAACAAGTGCCAAAATCTGAACATACCTGTACTCAAAATTGATATAGTATCTACCGGTTTACTTTTTGTTTTGGATCTCTAAGTATACATATCAGGGGTGAAATGCTCTGAGGTCTGCTACCGCTTGGCTTGGCTACCGGTTCGCTTCATGCACGCATGCGAGCTTTGAGCACATGTGCACAGCTGAAAAAGGAGAATTAAGAAGTCTTTTCTGAGTCTGCAAAGGTAAGTAGAACAGCGGGTGGGGGTGGAAACAGCTGTGCCACACGATTTAGATCAGTTAGGAAGCAGGATTTCCTGCTTTCTAGTGAATCAAAATTGTGTGGCACAGCTGATTATCACACAGCTGATTGTCAGAATTACAAGTTTGCCCCAACGGTAGCATTTTTTTTACTACCGGGTCGGGCAACCCAGTCCTACCTGTAGCATTTCACCTGATGCATATGCAACAAGAGGAGAAACTAGACTTAGCACAACATTGATGAGCATGAATGTTTGCATACATGTATCCTATTTTACAAAGGACTACTTTTTGTTTAAAGACTGTCTATTCCAAATACATTTTAAAGAAAAAGAACCCTAAGGAAGCACAGCAGACAATGACCTGTGATGGTGAAAGTTCTTTCTCTGAGCTTATGGGTTGGGTTCCTAACCAACCCAATTTAGGGGCTACCAGTGTGAGTCTTCTTCTGTTTATAAGGGCTTTGTGTGGTCAGTAGGCCTTGTGAGGTCATGTCAGATGAGGGTCCCCTCATGTCGGGGTCTTGGGATGGCTCTCAGTGATGGGTGTGGGTGTGTCAAGTGAGGGTCTTGTAGTTGGTCTTGTGATGGGTCAGGTGAGTCACCAGTGAGGGTCTTGTGATGGGTCTTATGACGGGAACTTGTGACCCTAAACTCTGCTGAAGATGTTACCTAGCCTGGTAATGAAACGTTCGGAAACAACCCACAAGCTCGGAGAATGAACCTACAGATATTCGCCACTATTGCAAACAATGACCTGCATCAGCTAATTAAAAAAATACTGAAGTAATTTAATTATTGGCTTGGTTCGCTCATGATACTAAACTTTGATGTTATACATCGTGATATGTTAAATAAACCACACTGGCAGGATTCCAGACTCAATGGCTAAATGCACCCCTGTGTTACACCATTCAAATCCAGTTTTGTTCCCCAACAATTGTAGTTTCTCTGTATTAGGTAATTTATTTCCTATATCCTCACCCGCCATCCACAAAGAGATTCACGTTGTAATACACATACAGACACAAAAATGCTTGATATCTAGAGGGAGAAAAGCTCATGAAATTTCAATTTTTCCAAGTAGGTAAGCTAACTTATGGCTAATTAATGTAGGTATTATTGTATCATACAAAACATTAGAGAATCAACAAATGAATAAACAATGTCTAGCTAATTTTAACAACACTGACCATTACTTTAAGAATGGCATCTAAAATGATGTTTAAGCATACAAAGTAATGCAAATGTACCTTTTTCTTATTAAGGAAAATCCTGAATCATCAAGCCCAAGTAATATGTTCAACAAAACTGGCTGAACAGCATGACTACTCTTATGTTTTTAAGGTGGATTTAACAGGTCATTTTTCAAGTCTGTATTTCTTGTATTACACAGTAGGAAGTTGATTTTAGTGTCAGATTGTGGACTTGGGCAAAGTCCTAAAATTTGATTCCTCATGCTGAAGAAACATGTTAGAATGGACATAAAGGAAACTGAACAATAACTGTTTGGGGTTATCCTTGTCTCTTCTGCACTGGTTCATATTGTTATAGCAAAATGTGTACAGTTCATAATTTATAATAATCAGGTATTCATGAACTAAAACACAGATGCTTCTTATTCAAATTATCCAGGTATTTCCCCTTTGTTTTCTTCCTATATATACATACAAGTCTGTCATTTTCAATAATTTAGCTTTCAGTAGCTTACAGGGTAACACAAATATTGTGACTCATACCCAATGCAGACAAAAGCAAGCAAGCTGTACACTCCCACAGAAAAAATTAAAAATAGCTGTACCAATTATTTTTTAACTAAAGAATTGAATTCCAAACCCATGTACCAGTATGGCTCAAGAGTAGTATTTCTCTTTTATTTCAGCTTGAAATTTAGATAAGATTTTGCCTCATGCAAGCTTATCTTAAAACTCAAATGAGCTAAAATAAAATGCATCCTGGCTTCGCAAAAAGCATAGTTAAAGAACTGCATATGCAACACCCAGTTTATTATTTCACTTGTACACATATAATTGAATTTGACACATCTAATTCTTAAGACTTAAGACTAATCATTCTTTCAGAAAATACTATTATGCAGAAACTAGAGAATAAAATATGGAAAAGGGAAGGATGCAGTTCTGATTACTATCCTGCTAATTGTACAGTAATGGCTTACTTTGAATTATCAGTTTTATTGCTACTACCATTGTGAAGCACACAGATGGCATTAAAACAGCTTGCAATCTGGAGACTGTACATATAGACCAAACAGCTATGCAGCAGTAACGTATGTGTTGGTAGAACCCCCACTATTACTATTTTTCCTAGATAAAATATAAATAAAGCCAACAAGATGGATTAAAAGTTATTATCAGAGTGAATCAAGAGAAAAAAGTTTCACTCCCTTAATAACGGTCTTACTCATTATTTACTCATAAGACTGTTTTCTACTTCAAAAATCCAACAAAAACTAGGCCATTAATCATTGTCTGTGTGAAAAGGTATTCTCAGTCCATTTCTAACATATAGCTTGGAAATGAACTAGGAATATTCCTTTTTCAGAAAATTTAAATGGAAAAATCAGACATTTAGTGCTTGTCCTATAGTGGAATTTCATGTAGAAAATGTAAAGCACAGAACAAATTTACATTCCTATAAAGCACTAAAGAGACCTTCTTGGTCTAAGACAAAGTTTAAAAACTTCTTCCTTCCCTCTGGCATCTACTAGATATGCTGGAATTACACTCAACCTTGTTCTTCTACCCAACTGAATAGAACCAGGCAGGAAAAGCTGTCTTGGAATGATAAGTGTACTTTCACAAAAGTTCGGAGAACAAATCTTTGGAAATGGGAAATGGGAAATGTTTGCCTCACTATTTGCTATGCAATATCAACGGACAGCAACTAATCGTATATTTTTATAGACAGAGCATGTAAAAGGTGGGCAAGAGAAAATGTTCTTCGTGTCTCAAAACCAGGACCAGGATTCATTCATTAATATTGACTGCAGGAGATTTAGAACAAACAAAATGGATAAGTAAAAATAAAATCACATAACAGATAATTATATTATTGATACAAGTGATGGCTACTAACTTAAAATGGGATTTAATTAGTTCATGAAGAACAAGTTGATTAAGTACTATTAATCTTGAAGAGTTGTGTTACTTCTAGATTGGTGGGAACATGATTCCAAATCCAGTTGTAAGAGATATATCCAATGGGAGAGATGTATGTCTCCACCTTCCGTTGTTAACTGGTTGGCCTCTGTACCAAAAGTTGACTAAAAAAGATGTATATTGGGCTGATATCTATACATAAATCCAAATGGTTGTTTTTATGTGTTCATTTCTCTATTTCAACCCTTTCTTTCACACTATGCTTTCTATTCCTTTCAGAATCTCCAATATATTAGATAATAAAATGCATGGATCTTCTCTTAACCCTGTCTAAAGACTTTTGTATCATTTTAGCTACTAAGTTCATTGCCGTCAAACTCTTGAATAAGGTTTTGTATTTTTCGAGAAACTCCTCAGATACCTCTTCTTTTAGCCTTCTCTTAATTTGCTGAGATTTTAACTTTAACATTAATTACTCCTATGTCTTTTTAAATACATTTTTTCTTTCCTATGTCTATTGTTAAGATTGTAAGCCTATTTATTACATACTGCAGAGTGTATTTTTAAGTATTTAGGAAAGCAATTATGTACAACTTTTTAAGGTTATAAACCTCAGCAGATAATCAATATATTTGTCCTGGAACACAATGGGTACTCTCTTTTTTTAGATAAGGTTATTCCAGAATCAATTTGATATTTATTGGCCATGTGAATAAAATCACTTGTATTCCATAATGCCATAATACTTCAGCTTTTTTTAAACACTAAAAACCACACTGGAAGAACTATTCTACAGGTAAATATACAGCAAAAAAAACCCATCCATCTTTTATACTAAGACATGTGTGCTGAACATTCTTGTTTTCTTACACCAAAACTACATTCAGATTTCTATTGTTCATTGTTGTTTTTCAGGGGTATGCCAGATGTGTAAAAGCTTATAAGACATTCTTAAATTAAATGCTGGCATTTTGCTGTACTTTATGAATGCTCAGCTTGTTTGCTCAAAGCCTATCTCAGCTTGTGTGCTCAAAGCCTATCCCTACCATTCACATCAAACACCAGATATATAATGGGTGGATTAGACTGAAAAATCATCCGAACCTGGCCAAACCGAACCATAAAGGACGACAGCTTAGGAGTTACAGAAAAAGAGATATCTCATCAAATATTGTATAGTTTTTTCCTATTTCTTATATCTAATAAAATTGAAATTAACTAGTAGGTTATATTATATGCAACTTACTGATTTATATGAGTTTCACACAAAGGGTTTCCCTATAGTGGCAAACCTTGGATTTTCTATATGTCCATCTCTCTCATATACACATAAGTAAGGCTGACAATTATTTTCTTACTGCATAGGGATTTCTATTACCTAAAACTATACTGTATCCATTTCTGCCACACCTTTCAAAAACTAGCCATCCTACCTAACTAAATGTTATAAACAATCTAGAATACTACTCCTTATAATTTAATAAGCTGTTCTCATAGTCACAATGAAAAAAAATGGATGTCTCTTCCCTACAGTTTCAACACAAGACTATGAGAAATTCCGATTCCAATTCCCATTAGCATTTGTAAATAGAATTATGTAGTAATGGAAGGGAGCTGTCTGCTGGCCCAATCACATCAGCAGAGCTCAAGAATAGGTCGTCCCGTCCCCCCCCCCATGGAGTATGAATACATCTTACTTAGGGTATGGTATCTGGGTTGCAAAAATCCAAATTACCACTAGATGACATAGTGGGATGTGTTTGCTGCCTTTTCAGCCACCATCCAGAATTTTGGGATTATATAGGTAGATGTACACTTTGCCATAATGGAATCCAATAGCTGCTGCACATTCCAACCGCTTCTAAAAGCCACAATCACACATTTCTACCACTATTCTCATTCCACTAGATCCGTATTTAAGGGCATCGGGCAGGGAGGGGTCAGGTAGCACACCACCACACCACTACCCCCCATTTGTTTACCCTATTAGGCCGAGTGAAGCTCAGCACAATCCCTGTCCCCAACACCCAGACACATCTTCTTCGCCCGTTTGCTGGAGAACCAATAAGGCAAGATCCGCATTAGTGACAGATCGGGGGACGGGGGACGATAAAATAGGAAGCAGGTACGCCAGGCTCCAAAGTCCCAAACTAAAAGAGGGGGCTTTTCCATTTCTCTCTCTCTCTCCCCTCCCCACCCCATGTGGCTCTTTCTACCCTTTCTTTCTCTGCCCCTTTCTGGCAGCCGCTGCAACCACCCCCCTTCCACCCACTCACCATTTCTGCGCCAGAGACCCCCTCAGCCGCGTCCTCCTCGCCTCCTGTTTGTGCTATTGTGGGGCGGGCCCCGACCACCGTGGAGAAGCGAGCCGGGGCCCCCCCAGCTTAGCTGTCACCCTCGACCTGGAAGTGAATTTCCCTCAGCCGGGCCGGCATTAAATCCACACACGCAGAAGACACAGAAGGTCTCGGGGAAGCTGGCTGCTGCTTGCCCTTAAAGGAGACGCGCTAAGTGAAGCTGGGGGAGGGCTTATTTATTTATTTATTTATTTATTTATTCATTCCGCCCCCAGGGGAAAAAAAAGCTTTGGCGTCACCACGAAAGTTCTCCGAAGTAAATNCGTAAAATGACTTCGACTGTACAGCGCAGTGGAGTTGCCATTGTAACAGCTTCACAGTACTCCACAAGGGGGCTCCCTCTGGTAAGGGAAAATCCAACATTAGAAATTACATTTGGTCCGTACATTTCCCCCCTATAAATAAATACCCTGGCAACGCCGAGTTACCAGCTAGTATTGAATAGTGTGTAGAAAAAGGGACCTAGATATCTGGCCTAGGGCAAATGTATGAAATACAACTTTTGAACAGTCTCACACAAAGTTGTGCAAAAACCAAAACCCTTCTGAAGCTGCGTATACTGCTATTTACTTTACGATATAAATAATATTGACTTTGTCAATTTTCTTGATTTTTTTTTAGCAATTAAAGTGATTGGAGGAGGGATCAAAATACTGAGCAGCTCACTCCCATTTTTTTTGAAGGGAAAGCTCTTTCTCCTACATTTTCCTTTCATGTCTACAGGAAAACGCTCACTTCTTACCTTGCTACTTTTGCTGCTGTGTTGTTCTAACCCATAATGACAGGCCCTAATTCTATTCACCGTTTGGCCACTTCACAACATGGAAAGATAATCAATTTAATTGGATATCATTTCATTTGATCAGTGGTGGGTTGCTAACCGGTTTACTACCGGTTCGCTCCTACTCACGTGCAAAGCTTCTGCACATGCACAGAAGCATCTGAGCGGGTGGGTGGAGCCTCCCGCCACCGCCACTACCAGTTCAGCTGAACTGGGCTAAACCGGGAGCAACCCACCTCTGCATTTGATAATTACTGAACGAATAAGATCCCTACTCCACAAATACAGATATGTGCTCTACAGTGTTTTGTGGATGCGGGTAACGCCTCCTGCTTCTTCTATGCTAAATTTAGCATAATCTATGTAAACATGACGACCACAGCTTCTGAATTGTTGCTTCTCTTTTCTCTCACTGCTCCAAACCTGCCAGTGCAAGATCTGTTTTCTTAAATCACATTTTGTGATTCCATTAGAGAGATGCCCCATCCATTTATGCCCCATCTGTTTAAATAGTTTTACCTTCAGAATTTCTGGTTTGGTATTTTCCATAAAGTGCGTAAGGCTAAACAGATGAAACAGTGCCTCTCTCACAAAAAATGCCCGCTCGCTGTAACGCCGCAGAGCTTCCGAAATCTGAGTTTCATTTGCTTCTCCAGAAACCTTGAAAATATAGAATACATGATGTATCAGTTTGCAATTAGGAAAAAAAAATGCAGGTAACAAAAATATTTTCAAATGTTCTATTTTTATTTCACCACAAGAGAAAAGAATGGAAGTTATGTTGCTGAGAAATTCTATACATTTAACTTACTTTTTCTGAATTATTCTTATATATAAGTGGTGTTGGGGATAAGCCTATATATGCTGAACTGAGATGTTTAAAGAACATGGGATCACAACATAAAAAGTTTGTTTTAGTGTTTAAAACACAACCGAGCCAAGCTGACAGAATTTTTCCAAAATATATTAGGTATTTCAGATATTCTCCTCTGATACTATTCATAAATAATTAAACTTTGAACTATTTTCAACTATAATCAAATATTTTCAAGCAATATTCAGTGTTTATATATTTTTTGTGTTTTATTTTCTCTTTTTATTTTATTTTTTATTGCCAAACAATAGATTCACTGGATATCCCAAAATGATTAGTACTTTTATATCAGATGAAGCATCCTCAAAGTTAACCTGTTTCAGAGTTTTAAAGGTTATTTAACTGATGCTTAAATTCTATAATAAATCACTTTTCTAAGAAGTGGTAAGTACATATTTCAATAAAGAAATATACATTTCTGTATATGTATATTTTGATATATACATATAGAAACAGATCTACATACAATTACAGCATACATGATGTACAACGTATGTACATCAAAGGTCTTACTTAGGTCAGTGGAGTTTATTTCTGCACAGATGTGCAGAGTTGGCCTATCTGCTACATTTAGGAATGATCTCATATGAGACCTGGTTCACACATTGCATTTGTCTGCAATTAGCTTAACATGTGTGAATTCAGCAATTCTGATTTGCAAACCAGATGTAATATAGTTTGTTGTGTTAACCTAGCCCACATAGGCATTGTTTAAAAAGAACTGTGAAAGTGCTGAAACACAAGTCTAAATTATTTTAAAAGATTTTTAAAAGATTCAACAACACTAAGACTGGCATTACTGTATAAGCAATTTATATTGAATAGGTAACTGCTTTCTATCCAGGTTGAAATTTAAATATGGTAAACAAATTCCAAGCTTTTTCTTCTTAGTTAATTGTATTTGACTAATAAATTGTCTCCAGGTGTCTTTATATAAGCTTACTTTGCTCTTCTTTGATACTAATAAAAATGCAACTGAAACATAAGCTTATTGACCCACAAGGAGGAACTCCTTGATATAAATTTGTAGCAGTAGCAATATACATTTCTAGGACACTAAACATATACAGGTAGTCCTTGACTTATGACCATAATTGAGCCCAACATTTCTGTTGCTAAGCGAGACATTTGTTAAGTGAGTTTTGCCCCATTTTATGATCTTTCTTGCCACAGTTGTTAATGGAGTTGTTAAGTTAGTAACACAGTTGTTAGGTTACTATCGTTCCCCATTCAATTTGCTTATCCAAAGATCGTGAAAGGTAATCACATGATCCCAGGACACTGCAACCATCATAAATATGAGTCGCTTGCCAAGCCTCTGAATTTTGATCATGTGACCATGGGGATGCTGCTACGGTTGTAAATGTGAAAAATGGTCATAAGTGACTTTTTCCAGTGCCCTTGTAACTTTGAACAGTCACTAAATGAACTGTTGTAAGTCAAGGACTACCTGTACAGTGTCATATATCGAAAATATTAAAGAACTAACGGGAGAGAACACTGTGATCTGGTTTGTGCAGTTAATTGTTTGACATAATTTATTTCAGTAACCAGAATTGTACCATTTTTTTGTATAAATATTAAGCCNAAAAATTTTAAATTAAAAAAAAGGCAGGCATCAATAATAATCAAGCTGGTTACAGGATTTCTTACTTTTAATGGAAGCATTATAGCCTGCAACTTGCATGCCACAGTCTATGACACACATGCTTCATACTGAAAAACATGCATAAAATTGTTTTCAAATATGTTGGAAAGAAATAATGTAAAAGGGTTTAGGGCTCAGATCATCCACAACAGGATAACTCCAAAATCAGGAGAGAGTAGGATTAAAAGATGAAAATTGAAAACCCACTAAGCTGGCGAGAAAAAGGAAATCCGGTGGGGGGTGGGGAGGAATCTTAGGACATCCCTGTGGCCTGAGCCTTTTGATTGGTAGCCTAAGAAGTTCAGAATTAGAACAACCCATTTTAACAGCTATGTATACAAACTTACATGAATGCAATTAGTAGGTAGTTTCCACTTCCGGAGTAATTTTACTACTTCCGAGGAGAACTTACAACCACAATTCATTGTGGTCCCCTCCAACTTTGTCCCTTCCTGTAAAATTATGTAGAGGAAGTTACCCTCCAGATTGCGTCCATCCCCGATTTTCTTCCGGGTAGCAAGAAAGGACGGTGAGAATTCAAGAACGCTTTCACTTTTTTCCCTACTTTTCCGCGCGAATCACGCAGGCGGGGTGTGCTTTTCGTTCTCATTTATCTTTCTGTCCTGAAGAACAAATGTCCGGACTGGTCAATTTCGAAGACGAAGAGGAGGTGAAAGTTTATTTGGAAAATCTGGGAATAGAATATAGTTTCCAATGCTACAAAGAGCACGATCCTGACGGTAAGGTCGTAGCAGCGCTAGAAATTGATGATCGCGAAGACTGCAGTGTAATTTATATCTCAACAGGATTATACTGTTAATTCTGCAGATATTATCTAAATGTTTTTAAGATCAATTCACTTAGCCTTTGGGATTACATGCTGAATTTAATAGATGAAAAGTTTCTCCTTTTTTTCTATGTCTACCTGCATTCCCGGGGATGGAGTGGATTTGCGTCCACTCCATTTACTTAACGGTGCAGGAGGTCTGCCAGAGTATAGAGATAAGATAGTATCTAATATACGTATATCTAATATATGGCTCACAATTGTGAAGTACGCATTCCTGTTATTTTGTTGCATGCATGATTTAGGAATGTACCACTGAAAAATGCTTCTAGAAGGAAGGCAGATCTGCTATTCATGCTAATTCACATGCTTTGAATACTTTTATAAACATTAGATTCTGTACCCATCTCCAGGCATAACTATATTTTCTTATCTTTAGTATGGAGTGAGTAACAAATAAACCACATGGGCATAATTACACAGAAATTCAAATTAGGATTTAGGGATCCGAAATATATATGTTTATAATTATATACCTTCTTTTGGAATTGTGGGTTTGTTCCAAAGATGCTGCAAAAATAAACCATGGAATAAGGAAATATAATGGGAGTTTGATCATGTTCTGACAAGAGGCATTACATATGGACAAAATCTGAGGTCATTGATCAAAAATACCCTTAGCCATACTAAAATAGCATGTTTATTTATTCATCTACTTTCTGAATCCAAATGATTTAGCTTTTGAACTTTCATGTATTGCATAACTATTCAATTTAATCTCCAGTTCAGAACTCAATTATGGTATATTATTATTTGGGCCATTTTAGCAGGATAAATCTACTATTGTCCTAATTGAATATGATACTATCAAAAAAGAAAAAAGAGGGAAAGAACAAACTTGCAAACAGAAATATAATGCAGTCATAATTTATCATAAATTTGTTTCCTTAAAAAATTGCAGGTTGCCATCGTTTAGCTGATTATCTAGCTGGAATAAAGGGCAGCTTTGAAGGAGCTGCAAAAGTTCTAAAAGAGAACTGTGAAAATAATCTGCACAGTGAGAGCTGCTACAAACTTGGAAATTACTATTTGACTGGAAAAGGTGATAAAATGTTTCTTTTTCTGTTCCTGAGATTATTTCTAAAAAACAATTCAAATAAAGCTGTTGAAGAAATATGTATTATTTGAGCAGGCTTATGTCTACTCACCCAACTGTATTTTGTAAACCATGGTTGATGGCTTATAGTGTTGTATGAATTAACCAATTATAATGTCATTCAATAACTGGTGCTTTTTCCTTACAGGCGGGCTTCCAAGAGATGCGAAAACTGCTTACCAATGTTTTTTGAAATCTTGTGAAAAAGGTGGGAAGAAATCCATCAATGCTTGTCACAGTGCTGGATTACTGCTACAAGATGGACAAGTAAATAATGATGAGAAGCCTAATGTCCCTTTAGCCAGGGACTATTATAGTAAAGCTTGTGACAATGATTTCCCCCCCAGCTGTTTCAATCTAAGTACTATTTATCTTCAAGGAGCTCCTGGGATATCAAAGGATATGAATCAAGCATTGCACTATTCTCTAAAAGCATGTGACTTAGGACATATATGGGCATGTGCCAATGCTAGCCGAATGTACAAATTGGGGGATGGAGTTGAGAAGAATGATGCCAAGGCTGAAACCTTAAAGAACAGAGCAGAAACCTTATACAAAGAACAGAACACAGCTGTAAATACTTTAACATTTGGACAGTAAGCCTAAACAAAACTAGTTTGTAAAAATATACTTGTTAAATAGGGCAGGTATTTAATCTAGATGTATTCTCTTGAATGTTCAAAACTTGTAAATGAAATTTTGTATAATTTATTATATAAGGTAATAAAATAACTGGATTTTATGTTACATTTTATTCTTTCCAACCTAGTGAAACGTTAGAAATAAATTTGTAAAGTTCTAGAGCAAGAGTGTTACACTTGTATTGTCACAGCAGTGTCATGTGGTGTATTGGGACTTTTTCCCCTTCACTAAACCGGGCAGAGACAAAGCCAGCACGTGATGCATCTGGCCCACAGGCCGCGAGTTTGACACCCCTGCTCTAGGGTCTCTGTCTATTACTAAGCCAGAACAGAACAGAATCAAAGATTTCCAAAAGCCATGCTCACCACACTTCTTACCTGATTTGTTCTAAAAGATATGGGAATGTGAAGGTCATATTTAAGCCAATATGGTGAACTAGTTGTTATATGCATTTTGAAATTACATGTAGAGAATGAACCTTTCAGGTCTTAGTTGTGATGCAGAAATGCATACAAGGCAATACTGTAGAACCTATTCCTGTTAAGTAGCAGTTCTGTTCTGTAGCAAAGTCCTATATTCAATTTCAGACAACATCAAACCACTCTTTAGAATATATATTGGAATCTGACAAGTCATGGGTAATCCTTGGTTCTACTGTATGTGCTTGTATGCGCATTTCTGAAAAACGGCATGGAACAGAAATCTTAATTGCTGAATCATTGGGTAAGAGAGAGAAGTAATTAAAGTCCTCTTGAAATCCTTAAATCCTCCTAATGATCCTTGTAGGAGAAAATGTTTGTGTGATGTGCAAGCTTGACTATTGCAACATGTTCTACACAGGGCTGCCCTTGAAGACCAAACAAAAGCTTTAATTAGTCCAGAACGCAAGAGTGGTGATGGACATGACTAAGTATTACATAGCTCCTCCTATGTGAGCTCCACTAGCTGCCAGTTTGCTTCTGATTGTGATCAAGATATTGGGCATTATGTATAAAGCTGTACACGGCATAGTGCTAGTTATCTCCTGTATCATCTGCCCAGCCTCTCCAATCCAGCAGTGTTGGCAGGCTTCAGATTCTTTTAATGAAACAATGCCACCTAAAGGAAGGAAGGAAACTTTATAAGAAGAAAAGGTGCTATACTATGCACACTTGCAAAACTTAGCATTACATTGAAAAATGTACCTGTGTGACCATTAGAACTTTAAAAAAATATTAGATTAGTTTCTAATCAATTTTTTCAGCCAAATGTCCCAAAATTTACATTAATTTAAAAGAAAGACAACTTGTCCACACAAGGCAGGAGATGGACACAGGAAATATTTTATAGTGGAGCACAATCAGTATTATAAGCTCAAAGAAAATGGTTTGTTAGATTTCATGGAGAAAATTTATGTGGATGCTAAGAGTTTTAAACAACTTGATGGACCACAATCAATAATCAGACAACTATATTTGGCTGGAGCTTCAGTGATCTTTTCTTGCAATTGATTGCTCTTGTGCAATGGCTCTGCAACTGGTACAAAAATTAAGTTTGTTGCAGTAATTTCGACATCAGAAGCACTGATATGAATTTTCTTTAAGTTGTCTCCTATATAGAATGCAAAATTCATCATCTCAGGAACCAACCACTCAAAATCTGGCATGTTAGGTTTCCTTTTGGATTATGCTATTAACTCCAGATTAAGTCATCCTAGGGACAAAGGACAGTTTGGAATATTCTGGAAGTACCATATTTTTCAGAATATAAGACTCACCAGAGTGTAAGACACACCAAGATTTTGAAGAGGCAAGTTTTTAAAAAAGTTTTTGCACTCTGCAGATGTCCCAAAAATGAACCGTTTTTTGGTCAAAAAAAAAGGGGGGGGGCATGCATCCTAAAGGCTATGCATGGCCATTTTTGCAAAGTGGGCGGGATTTCAGGAGGCCAAAAATGCTGTATTCAGTGTATAAGACACACCCAGATTTTCACCCTCTTTTTTGAGGGAAAAAGATGCATCTTATACTCCGAAAAATACGGTAAATACTTCAAACAGGAAGTCGTTCAAAGTGTTCTAGAGGTAATGTTACAAGTAAAAAAATTTCAGAACTTAGCTCATCCTAAAATCCTTTCAGTTCAGAGGAGTATTTTTTTTAACAATAACTGAAGAAATTAAGACAAATGATGAGATTTTCAGTTAATAAGTGGGTGATTTTTTTAAAAGAGCAACCTTAGGTAAAGAAAATATGATGTACATAGAAACTGCCAAAGCAGAGATGCTAATAAGAATGTTTTTAGAATTCAGGACCAGCTCATACAATGGGGGGTTACACTCAAGCANATCCACACTAGGTAACATCATCACTCATTAAGTTAGTTTGGGTAATGAAACATCTGCAAGAAACTAATCAAGCCCAGAGAGAAACCAAGAACCCCTCCTTTCAACCCTGAGCTATCACTATTCTTCTTTATCGTTTCCATCAGTCATGAATCAATATTGGCTATATTCATAATGTATTCCACTGAAGCTGCTTAGCTGCATTTTTTTCTAAAAAGACAATAATCACTTTCATTCCTGTTATAAAATACAAGCATTTTAAAAACCATTTTAACATCTATCCACCCATAATCAAAATCAACAGTACATACGAGGCACTTGGTGCACCCATTTTAAAAATTCATCTCACAGGATTAAAAAAAAAATCAGTACAGTGGTTTTGTATTTGAAATGCAAAATAAAAATAAAAATGGAAAGGCTTACTTGTTGGTGGTTGGGGAAATGCTCCATGGCTTTAAGGAGTAAGTGGGTAACATCTGCTAGGAGCCTAACTGGCATGCCTGCAGCTAAATCTTGTTTTGTCAGGTTAAACACACAGGCACTTGCTGCTAATTGCACAGGCAAATTCAGAGGATGATTTCTCATACCAACAACTACAAGCTGGAAGGAACAATCAAGAGAGGAAATTGTGAGCTGGCTTATCATTTACAATGACAACAGCAACCATATCCAAACCATAATTAGCTTAGTATTTCTAAAGTTCTTTAAACTAGCTGGCAGATATTTTACACTCCAATTCACAGATCTACCTTGATCATTTCCAGGTAGGGAACTAGCCAACTTTTTTTTTCATGACTAGAGGCAACATGTCAAAAGTCCTGGCCCTTTGCTTTCCTCCATGTTGTTTCCTTCCATTTTAATTTCTCTCTATATATAAATGGCTGTGTTTGTGTGTGTTCCAGCATAAGTCTGAAACATCTCAAGCAATTTCAACCAAACTTGGTACACAGATGACTTACTCTTTGGAAAAAAAATACTGTGGGGGTAACACACCCCAAACACCTCTGGGGGGATTGTTCTGTTAAGATACAGCCTGTTGTGCCTTAAAATGGCTTCTACTGTACTGACGTAAAATGACTTCGACTGTACAGCGCAGTGGAGTTGCCATTGTAACAGCTTCACAGTACTCCACAAGGGGGCTC